CCTTTTTTTTTTTTTTTTTTTAAAGTGTGTCTTTGTGAAGGGCTTGCAGCCATGGAACCAGGGTACTTGAGGCGTCCACAATGCTGCCGGCTGAATGCTTATTTCATTTTCTGAACAAAAAATGCAAATGTGGCGCTCCGGCTCTCCCTCGCCTGCCACTGCCCCCCCACCCGCCCCTCCTCCTCCGCCCCTCCACTTCCACAGCCCGCCGCGATTCAACGTTTTCAAAGACCTTAATTTTATCATGAACTGATTTGTTCTGTATCCATGACAGAAATTTTAGTATTTTTATTTCTTTTTTTTATCTTCAAGGTTAAAGCTTGAATTGGGTTAATTAGGATCCATGTTTAATGTCAAATCCTTGTAGTTTTGGCTTGTAAACAATGAAACTGGAGGATTTTCTCAGGTTTCATTACAGTTTAACTCAATACAGGCGACTCAGATGATGTGGATGTGAAATATTCCCTTAGTTATGATACTGTTGAGTAATTAAACTGAATCGCGGGTTAACGTTTGAGGTAAAACATGAAAGAATAACAGCTAACAACAACCCGCTCCGTGCTGCACGTTTCATATTGTATTAGGAGCTCACAGACGCAGGTTAAAATTTAGGACAAATTGCCGTCTTTTCCTCCGAGGACTGAGCTCTCTGCTTCTTCGAAAACTTCCAACTCGACTCAGCAGAACCACTTCTGAACATGTGGCCTTTTGTTCTCCGCAGATTCCAGGCAGAACAGTTTGCTGGGAGCGCCTCCCTCCTACCAGCAGCCCCAGTATCCAAGGTGAGTCGGCCGGTCTGCTTGTTTTAAATCTGTTTGTGTGGTTAAGTTTGATATAAACGCTGTTTGTAAAACATTTGTGTTCATCGGTTAACTCTAAAAGAAGGAAGAAAGGACTTTATTGACCACATAAAGCATTTCCTGGTAGAACTCGTGCATTAAACGCGTTAAGGCCCTGGTTTATGGTTTCTGCAGCTCGTCCCCCCCCCTCCCTGCAGATTTCCAGCCTTTCTACACCGGCGCTCTGCCTTCCTCCGTTGGGGGGGCTGTGCTGCTGCTGCTGAATTAAGATTTCTCCCCGTCTCTCTAAAACAAATTTCTCTCGAGGAGGTTTGTGCAACTTAATGAGGCATCACTAATGCTGTTGGAGGCTGCGGCGTTTCCCTGCGCCCGCGGCCGCACAAGTCCGGCTATTGATCCTGGCTCCAGACCTCTCCAAAGTCCTAATCAGGTTCTCTGGTTCAACTTTTCAGGCCCATTGTGGCTCTGTGTCACCTCAGGTCAGTAGTTATTAGCAGCGACTGAAAACAGTTTCTTTAACTACCCGGGATCGGACCAAATGAAATGCAGGAGGAACTTGGAGGAGAGGGGATTACGGATTCCAGCGCTCGGTTAAGTCCGGCGCTGGCCAGAGTGTGACATGGTTCAGTAATGAGGGATGGGGCCGCTGCGCTTAGTTTCTTCTCCCTTCATTGTTACAAAGAAGAGACTTTTAATATCCTCCGTTGGATTGACACATTGTCCGGCGGCGGTTTTGGAGGGCCGTGGCGTGCCGACTCTTCACTCGGTCCCACGGACGCCTCATCTCAGGGACGAGCCATATGTGAATACGGTTAATTTCATACTCTGTGCTTTGATGTGAATCGACGCTAAGTCATCTGAGAGGAGAGGCTGATTTATCTTTTTGAGAGCTCGATCCCTCAGCAAACGGCCGTCAACGGGGTCACTTCAAAGCAGAGTTAAAGGCCGCCTCTCTTGTCGGATCAGAAAGTTCAATATTTTGTCAGTCGGCTGGAAATTCCTCATAACATGAACAAATCTAAACTTTAAAGTTAAATCAGACTTGTTTATTATGAATGAAATTGAACTTTAGGACTCGTTGAGAAAGTTGGTATCGACTTGTTACTTAGTTTTTAAATTAATACATCTGTAGATGACTTTTCGATTCACTGTTTAGTCAATGAAACATTAGAAAATAGAAAAAAATGAGTCCAAGCTGATGTCTGCGACCACAAAACCCAAAGATGTTAAGTTTACAAAATACTCAAAATGGAGAAGCCACAACCCGGCGTCGCTGTTTTTACCTGAAAAATGACTGAACCAGTTCATTTGTTACCGAAATACTGATACTGCTGATAAACTCGATAAACTTATTCTTTCATCTTGAATTCTTTTTTTTTATCCGCGTGTCTTCAAACGTCATTAAATACTTATTAGGGCTGCAACTAACGATGATTTTCATTATCGACTAATCTGCCGACTATTTTCACGATTAATCGACTAATCGTTTAGTCTTTAAAATGTCAAGAAATTGTGAAAAGTGTTGGTCACAATTTTCCAGAGCCCACAGCGTCGCTTCTTTTGTCCAACTAACAGTCCACAACCCAAAGACTCTTTATTTACGGTCAGAAATGACAAAGAATAGCAGCAATTCCTCACGTTAAGAAGGTTAAACAAGCATTTTTCCACATTTTAGCTTAAAAAAATGACTGAAACGATTATCAAAATAATAATTGATAAATTTTCTTGTGATGAATTAATCGACTAATCGTTGCAGCTCTAATACTTATTATAAAGTTTGGCATGTTTTGTTACATGGAAGCACGTGTGTGTATTACTCAAAAGTACAATGTTGCTACCAAAACTCAGGTAATGTTGTGACACTATATTTTAAAGACACAATGCAGGTGGAGCTTCTGATTTCTGTATCTTTAAAAAAACTACATAATGTCTCATTTGATTCATGCACTCGGTCATTTTTAACCCGCGCTGGGAAACACAGTCCAGCCAATATTGTGTAACTTTTAGAGCACAAGCTGGTGTTCGTCAGAAATTAATTAAAAGGTGATTATGTCAACATGCTGTAACACTTTAAAATGGCCTCGTTCTCGTGAATGAGCCTGTTCTCGCCTGTGGAAAAGTGTTCTCTAACTTCACTCTGAGATTACCTGAAACATCCGAGGTGACTGTTATTTTATGCATCTTCTTCCAAGGTCTTTATTTCCACTTCAGACAGAAACTACCTGGAGTCCGACATGTTAGAAAATGTGTGTGTTCATTGGAGACCTCGTTAACGGAGTGTACTTGACGGTGAGTTTTTCACAAGCTAACAGATTTGATGCGTTGGCGTCCCCAGGCAGCAGCAGCAGCAGCAGCAGTACGGAGGCGGAGGCGGGGGTCACGGCTGGGATCGGGCCACGCAGTCGCAGCAGTCGGCGTACCAGCAGAACGCGACCCGCGGACGGGGAGGGGCGGGGCCGGGCAGCTACCAGCAGCGCTACGATCAGCGTAGAGACGACTGGCACGATCGCAGGGACAACAGGGGACAACAACAACAGGTAAATCCTTTCAGAGACGTCAGTCCGAGTTAGTTTCTAAACGTCTGAAGTTTACACGTCGTCTTTGCTGGCAGGTCGTAAATACAAACTTTTTACTTCCTTCCGTCTTATGAATAAAAGTTGTAAAGAGCTGAAGTTTGAAGTTTGGCTGCAACTTATTGTGAAACAACAACAACAAAAGAATCTGATTGGCTGTTGCTGACGATGCTGAAAGCGTTTGTCCAGACTTCCCAGTTGAAATTAATGAAATTCCTTTAAGTTGTAGTTTGAAAGCTGAACTCGTGGCAGCCTTTTCTTCTAAAGTCTTAAATATTAGTCCTGTTTTTACATTTTGGTCATTAATTCTCTAGAAGAGCATCAGCTGATTAAAATGTTGACATAAAACATTGTTATCGATTTTATCGGTCTGTTTAACTCTCAATTAATGAATTAATCAATTAATTGTCTGTAAAATGTCAGGAGATTATAAGAAACTCAAAAGATTTCCAATTTACTGAGAGATCATATAAAACACAAGAGAATCAAACTTGGAAACATTAAATGTTTAAGCAGTTAAGTGATTAAGTTAATTTATAAATTGAGTAAGTTTATCTGCTCCATTATCCATTCAGGGCTTTGTTGATATTTAATTTTCGTAAATGTGAACTAATTTTGACCTTTTTTAAATATATTTCACTATTTCACTGACTGATTGTTTCGGTTTTCTCATTGGTCAACAGCTACTTTATTTTTGTTTTTAAGAAGAAGTACTTGTTTAACATTATAATTTGGAAACTTCAAAAGGAGAGAAAAGGAGTCTCTCAAAATCTTTTGCTTCCAAACAATTCATGAGAACTGAGAGGAAACTGAGTGTTTTTTAAAATGTGAAATTCAAATGTTTCAGTTTTGTTTGGTTTATTCAGCTACAACTGAATAATCTGTTTTTAGATTTTGTGCACAAAAACACAAAACTTTTTACTTTTATGTGTCCAAACTAATGGAGGGAAATTTGGTTTGTGATATTAACAAAATCTTTCTACAAACAGTGTCCATGTTAATCCACAGACTTTCACTCTGTGGTTTCTTCTGTAGGTAGAAGTTACAATGATTTGAGCTTTTCATGAAGAAATATGTTGCTAAATTTTACAAAAGCATTAATTCCAGTTGGGTTGTTTTTGTTTATTTAAGTCCAGGAGTTCATGAAACATCACATGAAAAGTTCTGATTTGAAATACAAAGAAAACATCAAAATGTGCTCTTTAAAAAAATAAAAAATAAAATAAAATTTAAAAACATTTCTGTTTTCAAGTCTGTGAATTTAAATTATTTAAATACTTCTGATATTTGATCCATGTGGAGAAAAGTCAAATTACACTATATATTTTCTAAACTTGGAAATTGGTAGATGTGTTTAATATATGTCTTCTAACTTTATTTATTTTGTCTTTTAGGGTTACAGCTCTGGCAGAGGTTACCCTGCTCCTCCTCCGTCCAGAAGATATAACTGGAATTAAACTCAAAGTAATGATGGACTTTGGGACTTTAAGGGGGGGCGGGACTATTTTTAGGGGAGACATGTCATTTTTTCTTTTCATTCTAATGTCTTCTTGTACAATGATATTTGTGGGTTTATTTCCTTTTTATTCGACCACACACAAAAACACGTTTAATGTAACCTGTGATTTTTAAGATGAACGGCCTGTAAAACTTGTAAAATACAAGTGAGTCAAGGACAAAGAGTCCAGCTGTGTTTATTTTTTGAGAGGAATCTCTCCAAAGTGGTCCAGTGTTGAAAACAACACCACACACACACACAAAAAAAACCATGTAAAATAAAAGGTGATGTTGGGATTATATTTGTCTGATAAGAATGATCATGTGTGTCTTCGGGTAATGGAAATGCTTTTTTAAAAATGTTTTGATTCACACTTACATTTTACTTAAATTAAAAAGCAAAAATGCCTTAAAATATCAAATTATTTTTAATTAGTCTCCCAATAGAATTAAGGTAAAAGATAAAGAAATATTTCATTCTTTTTTGTTAATTATATCTGAAGCATTACGCATTTTCTGGTGAATATTCAGGTATATTTAAGCAGCAAACATCCTTTATATCCACATTCTGCTTTTATATCAGCTGTAAATGATCATTAGAATTGTCATTGATCCAAAAACCATTTAAAGAAAATGTTTTTTTTCAGACTTCACAAATTACATTGAAATGTCCAAAATGAAAATATCATTTATTAAACACTGGAAACAAATAAAAATCAGCTGTAACAAAGAATATTTATTGACTTCCAATGAAAATATTTCTCAATTCGTTTAATTCGGAATTAAACGAACTTCTGTAGCTCTGTCCCGGATTATTTCCCGTTTTCAAACCGGCCTCTATTGCTTCACTTTGTATTAACTTTATATTTAAACCTGCAGTAATATATTTTGTCTAGAAATGACAGGGGAGCACAGTGAGAGTGCCTCATCCTGAATCTCCTCGCATTAGATTTTGTTTTAATGGTCTTAAATGCAGCAGCAGTCACATCTGTCAATTACAAAAAAAGACTTAACAAATAGGGAGAAAATACATTATTATCGACGTTCAAGGCTCTAATATACAGTTTGTTTTTGCACCATGTTGCTCAAAACCACCGAGTGTCTCTTGAGTCTCTGCGTGCGTAAAAGAACCGGAACTTTACGCACAGGAAAAAAAAAAAGATCTGGTGCGTGCTTTTGTCCTCCAGCCTGTTCTTCGAAAAAAATCCAACCCCGGATTGCGGCCCACAGGCCCGATACCGTCTGTCCTCCTCCCGGTATCCCTACCAAGTTCTCCCGTACAGTAAATTGGAGCCGATCATGCTGTTTGTGTACTCGATTAGCGCCGCGTCCGTCTGCGTCATGTTGATCTGACCGTGTAGTCCCATCGGCGGACTTTGGGACAAATCCTCCAGCTCCTCTGTGGACGACAGCTGGTTCACCTGCTGCTGCTGCTGCGGGGTCGTCGCCATGGCCTCCCCCGAGCTGCTCTGTCGGTTTCCGGTTTGGTTGGAGTCGGTCCGGCAGGCCTTGCCGTTCTTGGAGAGGACCGGAGACACTGAGGACGAGCGGTGGGTCGTCGCGCACAGGCCTCCACCGCCTCCACCTCCACCGCTGCTTCCGTCCTGCTGCAGCTGCTGCGTGGTCTTGTCCTTGGCCTGCCTCTTCAGCTTGTAGCGGTGGTTCTGGAACCAGATCTTGACCTGGTTCGGGGAGAGGTGGATCAGTCCGGCCAGGTGCTCCCTCTCCGGAGCGGACAGGTACTTTTGCTGCTTGAAGCGCCGCTCCAGTTCGTACACCTGCGCCTGAGAGAAGAGAACCCGCCGCTTCCTCCGCGGCGCGGAGTGCAGCGTCACCATGGACTTGGCGGTGGAGTCCATCCCGGCCAAGCTGCCCACCATCCCGGACATGTTCATCCCGGCGGAGGGGCCCATGAATCTGGAAACTTAGCAGAAAAATTATCCTTGTTTGAGTAAAATAAAAACAAGCTAACTGCTGAATTTAACTGGTGACATTTCTCTCAAACATTTAGCATCATTTATCTCATCCTTCACAAACAGTGGATTATGATTATTCTATAGGAAAATGTTAATTAGTGTAATGGCTTGTTTTAAAAAAAATACATTTTAAAAACTGAACAGTATTACTTTTAAACATTAAATAAAACGAAACGTTTAATGGAAAATAAGTAAACTTCTTGCTTTTTACTATAAACATAAATAATTTTAGGATTATATATCGTTTTCAAGGCGAAAATATGAGCTGTTCATTCATGTTTATTTAGTTTAAAGCAATTAAAGACACTAAGGAGCACCATGAGCACTATGTTATGATAGTACAGATAATAACAGATATTTTAAATAACAAGGCCTGTAGACTTACAAAATAAAAGTGCTTTAAAGTCACTAAACTGATTCTGAAAAAGTAATTATAGAGTCGATTATATCGAGGCCCTAAGATGAACAATAAAAGGTCACTTCCCGTTTTTTAATACCAAACACTACAATACATTTTAGGAACTTTGCACATTTGTTCCATCGTGCGTAAACGCAGGAGGCCGGACTGTCCAGGTCTCGTTTTCTCTATTTAAAACGTTTCTCAGATTTAAAACAGAACTTTTTAATTGACGCTGCTCTTACTTGTCGGGTATCTGGGCTCCGGGTTGCTGTACCACGCCGCTGCCGCCCCTCCGCTCCTCACCGTGTCCTGGTAGGACGGCAGGTCTCCGACGTTCCCGATGCCGCCGTTGCAGAATCCTCCGACGGCCCCGGAGAACTGCGGCACCCCGTGGGGCACATGATAGGGCCCGCCGGGTCCCAGAGCGGCGGCGGCTGCTGCTGCGGTGGCCGAGGCTGAGGAAGAGGAGGAGGATGAGGATGAAGAGGAGGAGGACAGGTGATGGTGGTGATGGTGATGGTGGTGAAGATGATGCTGCTGCGCCTGCTGCTGATGCTGCATACCGGGCTGGGAGACTTGCTGCTGCCGGTAGGCGCCCAGCTGGGACCCGAGACTCCCCGCGGCGGGATCCATACCTCCAAACCTCCGGTAGCTGTCCTCCATCGGGCTCAAAATGTCGGTGACTGAGAAGGGGGTGGAGTGCTTTGGGCTGAAGGACATGTTGTGGCCACCCCGTGCGCTGGCTGGATGTGGTCGGGTCTGTCCGGCGGCTCTCTTGCCTGCGTCCCCCTCCCTCCCTCCGGCTTCTTGCTTCCTCTGTCTCCCTGGGAAGAAGTCCAGCTGATCGGCTGAAGGAGGAGACGAGTTGCCCCTTATCCCGCTGGACTCGGACTCCCAACACACGGAGGGGCGGAGCGACGCGGATACAGCAGCCAACAATGGCAATTGACATTACAGAGGTAAGTGGAGAAAATGGTTTGGACCTACTTTCCTCTTCTGCTGCGGATGCGGTTTGGTTTACAAGGTTTGACCCAAACAAGAACGCAGAGTGACAAAAACCAGATTCCTTTAAACTCTGATACATTATTTTAACCACATATGATTAATTTAATATTGGAGATATAACATATTTCTATAAATCTAACTTCAGTCTCACTTGTTGTATTTGTTTAAACATTTCCAGAACTTTTTTTATTTTCATCTTGAACTTAAAACATCTAGGCCACATGTCCGTCTTTAATACTGATTTTACACAAAGTTTAATTTCATTAATTCTGTTTTTTTTCCCCAGCACAGCACACTGAGAAGACTTCCGCTTCTGGTGCTGCTGAAAACTTCCGAGTTGTTTTGACATTAATTTAACTTCCCGACACTGTTTTCTTGAGGTTTAACTCCTGTCATCTTCTTTCTTTTTGGGACCATAGGCCTAAAACCTGAACAGAACTTGTGCTGAAACTATTTCTTTGTTAATCATGATTTATAAATAACATTTTTTTAATTGTTTGTGTTCTGATTTTCTTTTACTTCAAAGCACAAGTACAGAATGTATTTAAATTAAGAGCCATGTCATTTCTGACATCCAAAAATAAATCACCTGAATATAGCCTATTTGTAAATATAGCCTATATTTAGCATATATTTATTGCTGGCATAGTGCACCATTCATTTATTCCTCAGTCTTCTGTTTATAGCCTACTTCACCAGGTAGCCTACAGGTAATAAGATCATTTATTACACATGTTAGGCTATAAGCTATATGTCTCTAAGTCCAACTTAAGTTCAAATTAAATCAGAAGTTCGATAATTCCTTGACTTTTAAAAGGTTTTCATCTTCCTTTGTTATTTTTATCTAGAGGGAAGTATTGGGATGGAGTTACCAGTTTAAAACATATAAGATAATACTCATTAACCAAAGTAAAATCCATAAATAGGCTATACAAGCGACAGGAAATTGGAGCAAATTTATTTTAATCTGAATTTTTGAATGCAGGATTTTGACTTTATTAATTATTTATTCCTCTAATAAGTTTGATTAAATTTCTCCTCGAGCTGTTTCACGTGCTCCGGTTTCCTCCTGCAGGCTCATCACTCATCAACAATAAAGCACCTTTTTAAACGTTAGTTCCGCTCAGTGGAAACAGTCCGAGCAGCCAATCACCTGCTGACCTGCTGCCGCGTCACTTCACGTCCTCTTTGTAGTTTTCCGGCGGCGGATTAAAACAGTCTTCGTTTTGCTTTCCGGTGAACCGTCCAGCTTCAGGGGGGACCGGGACCTGCAGACCGGAGCTTCTCCCGGGCCCAGAGGCGCTGCTGCAGGCGGTAAGAGAGGTGACCCACCGGGAGCAGACGGACCGGAGACACCGGAGACAGCTGTTCCGTACTGATGTTTAACTCCTGCAGCTGGTTTAACCCTGCACGCACTTTATTCGATGTTTTCGGTGAATTAATTAGAACTTAAAGGCCTTTAAATTCTTATTATATGTCTCAAGATGTCACTAAAAAATTCTACCTGCTGCCTCTGGTACTCCAAAGTTTCTGTTACCATTACTACGTCATTATTTTTCACTTGTAAAGTCTCTTTCTTTACTGTTTAATTACGTTAATTCTTTCTAAAATGTTATAATATCTTTAGATTCCCACAGGAATTTAAACCTGCATGTCTCTGCTGTAGCTTGTGATGAGTTTAAGGCGAATTAATTACACTGGGAAGTGTTTGTAACTCTTAGATTCTCTCATGATATCGATATAACACTCCTCTGGGAACTATATGTTGCCTCATATTTATTTAGTTTATTATAGGCTACTGTTTAATGACTTTATGGCGAGTTAATGCTTTTTAAAATTTATAATGTCTTAATGTTCAGGCTTATAATTTGTCTGTGTGGTCGTTTATAATGAGATTACAGTGAATTAATTATACTCAAAAGTGTTTTTAACTCTATAATATATTTAATAATATTAATGGTAGGGTATAGTGACTTAATGGCGTCTATATAAATTATTAATTGGCTGTTTAAGTGAAACTAATTGCTGTTTCTAACTCCTACAGTATGACTATATTTCTAAGAGCATTAAAGTTAGTTATTCTTCCACTAGGTTTGTAGAAAGTGTTTAAACTCCTGTAGTATTACGACACAGCACATTCACAGGTATTCAGGTAAAATACTCAGAGGTGGTGGTAAAACTTCTGGCATGCCATTATTGATATTGGTTATTGATTACAGTTTTCTTAAATTACTAACAGTGTGTGTGGAGAGGTAACCTCGTTACATTCAAATGTGTTTTACTCCCTAATATCTCTGATTTATAAAAGGTACTTGTGGTTATGCTGTAAATTTGTATAAATTGGTCTTATTGAACACTTTTATTGTATTTCACAGAGACCCATTCGCTGAGTGTGCTATTCTACAGTTAGTTATAGTAACTAGTTATTTATGACTTTATATATTATACTATATAATGTTTTTTTGGAACGTAACTAATATAAACTTAATGTTGAGATTTGCGTTATCTTTATGACCATATATATATATATATATACTCATGTCTATGTATTGTTATAATAATCATATAGTGAGTTTATGGTGACTTTGATGGGCAAAATTACTTATTTTAAATCTCCTCTGTCAGCTTTAAACTCCTTTAATATCTCCAGTGGTGCAGGAAGTATTCCGATTATTTTACTTATGTAATAGTTCTAATACCACAATGTGAAAGTACTTAATTGTAAGTAAAAGTGCTGCATTAAAAATGCTACACAAGTAAAAGTACAATAGCGTTAGCAGGAAAATGTCCTTAAGATATCAAAAGTAAAAGTACACAATGCAGAGAAATGGCCCCTCCTGGTGTGTATAGTATATCTAATGATGTACTATATATATGTGTGTGTGTGTGTGTGTGTGTGTATATATATATACACACACTATTAAATAGTACATTATTAGATTATTGTTACGCCTGCATTTGTTAAATTTTTTTTACAAATTGGGTTAATGATTATTTTCATTATGGATTCTTCTGCAGGGTTTTCTTTCTGGATCAAACCATTTATTTTAGTCACAATTAAACAGAATTAAAAAAGGACTCCTTCAGATGTCGTTATGTCCGACCAACATTCAAAACCTTTACTTTCATTTAAGATGAAGAAAAGCAAAAGTTTTTATTTGAGAAGCTGAAACTATGAAACGTTTCAGAATGACATAAACGTTTAATCAGTTAATGATTAATAATTGACTAATCAAATTTTTATATTTTGATGTGTAGTTTGATTTTTTTTTATTATAAAGTGTCATGTTTTTAAAATAAAGTAAAGTAACAAAAGCTGTTAGAATAATGTAGAGAGAAGAAAGTACATTCCCCTCTGAGATGAGTAGAAGTAGAAAGTACAAGTTAATCAAGTACAAGTACTTGATTAACTTTCAAATTTCACCTAAACATTTCTGACTTCAGCATCTCCTCAGGAAGTATTTTTATTTATTCTTTTATACCATTTATTGTGAATTTTGGGGGTTTAGCCATCTGGAGGGAGGTTACATCATTCAATTTAAAACCATTTTATTATTATTTATGAGCAGATTTTGATATTTTTAAACTCGACTACTTTAATGCCAACTTAGAGATAAATACGTACATTGTTCAGCATTTCTTCCCCAGGATTGTATTCGTTGCAGTGTGGAGGCAGCTTTGAGCTTTCAGGCCTCCATGAGAGGAAATACAGTTTGAACACATTAGTCAGCTGTGGTTTCAACTTTAATCTTCTTTTGAAAAAAATCTCTATTTTACATCTTATCTCTTTCAGTTCTTTTTATTCTTAACCTCAAAGCCTCAGGTCCCTGCAGACGAAAGCAACCTGGACCTCCATCTAATTCTTTGGAGCCAGTTCAGACCCTTGTTTTCCCTGCCGTTTTGATTTTATAGTAATTATTATAAACGTATAATAAATAAATCTTTCTTGTGTTTGCAGAGACACATTCAAATCTTTGTTTCCTTTATCCTCAATGTTCTGATTTACATTCATCTGAAGCTCTTCAACTGTAAAAACATGTCTGAAGGTGAGTTAAGTCTCTTCTTCCGTGTTTGTAATCAATAAAATGAAATAAAAAATCTTCCTGAAAACCAGAGAAGAAAAGCGTTTTCAGGTCCAAGGCAGCGGCGTCCTCGAACCTCAGACGGCGCCTTAAGATGCTTTCATAATAAAAACAAATTAGTGAGTTAATTTGCAGCTAAATCAAGCAAATAAATACTTTAACAGGCATCAGGAGGCTCACTGAGCTGCATCAGAGCCGTAATGTTCACTTCTGTTCGTATCTGCTAAGAAGATTTTTATTATTTCGTACATAAAAAGCAGCTTTGAGAGAGAAAATTATTCTGAATTTCTATTTGAAGTTTGCTTGAATTTGTTAAAAGAAAACGACTTCCAAATTATCTCCACTCAAGTTTTTCTATATACTTTATTCTTTCACAAAACAAAAAAGTCAACAAGCTCATGTTTACAATGAATAAAGTTAAAGTAACTCACTGTTTCTCTGTTTGTTTGTTTTTTTTCCAACAAAAGCAAACAAATGAGCCAGTTTGGCTTATTATACGGTTATATTATCATCAGCCGTGGTGGAATGTAACTAAGTACATCTACACAAGTACTGTACTTCCAAACCCCCAAGTTCACAATAAACAGGTTGAATAAATTAAAACTACTAAGGTCAGTGAAAGCCACAGCCCTGAGGAGATGCTGAAGTCAGACATATTCAGGTGGAATTTAACTAAATTCATTTAATAGGTACTTCTACTTTACTTGAGTATTTAATGCCACTTTCTTCGTCTACTTCACATCTTAGGGGGAAATATTGTACTTTTTACTCCACTAAATTTGTCTGACAACTTTAGTGACTTTACGAAAATACAAAATAATTAATAATAATAATGATCATTAGTTGCAGTCTGATATCAAATGAGCTCTAGCACAAAAACTATAACA